GGACTAGGAGAAGTTAAAGGAGAATCCAGAAGGATAAAGCTTAAAGTGAATTCTTTGGTTTATACCATTTATAGTCCTATTAAATTCAATATATTTCTCAGACATTTGGGGGGCAAGAAGTTCAGTGTATTCGTACGTCTTTCAAGATCCTCGCTTGATCATTTGACTCTGTCCAGCTAGCTTAACAAGCTAAATAATAAAAGGGAACAATGCAAAACTTGTTGAAGTTTTTTTCTCCCTGTGTCTTTTTTGAAGAAAGATACTGTGTTTTTTCTTAGATGCCCAGCAGTTTGCTGCAGACTCCTGCAGCTTCCCTGCCCATCACTCAATATCTATTTCAGTGTATCAAATTGTCATAGTTCCTCCTTTCATAGAGAAGCAATTAAAAATGATGAGGGTAAAGGGTTAAACCTAAAAGCCTGCTAATGAGGGTGCCTTCTTGGTTTTCTTTTCATCAGGCATTTGATGCTGTTTTCAGCATAAGCTTTCGATAAGCATCGCTGAACATTTTTCCAGAGTATATTAAAAAAAGTTTTCTTTTTTTCCCATCCTGTAAAAATGACAGATGTGTGGCTCTGCTGTTTATCTGAAATCCTAATTACTGATGCTGCAGCTTTTGAATGTTAAATTCATGCAGTGTTCTTTAGACTTCAAACTGGTCAAAGAAAGATGGATTTGTGTCCACAGAGAGATCTAAGTCTAGGAAACAGAGCCAATGTTTGTTTATTTATTAAATTATTTTAAAGTCAAGAGTTGCATCAACTGCAAATTACATAGACTTAGAGCTTTCTAAAGCAGAAAAAGAAAAAAAAAAAAAGCAAAAGTTTTCTGCCATTGGATGAAATTTTAATTCCTGTTTCCCTGAGAGCAAAGAGTGGAGGTAAGAGGTGGAATGTGAAAACACGGACGAGCTCTCCTTTCCTTGAGCTATGGTATTTATTATAGAACAATAGTTTGATTTTTTTCCCCCAAACCTATACACATATATTTGGAAAAAATATTATATATATATGATGTATATTTGAGGGGTGTGTGTGTGTGTGTATATATATATATATATATAAAAAAATATATATATAAATAACAGTGCATCTCAGTAGTCACGCAGCATCCCAAGGAATCATTTTCACAGGGCAGCAAGGAGGATCAGCCCAGGGTTTCTGATGAGTCCTTGCAGCCATGTGGTGAAAGCCTGAGCCATTTGTCTGTGCCGTGCCCCAGGTGTGTTTCCTACGCTGTGTGTATGCAATGCCCCGAGCAATAGCAGCAGTGCTACCTGACAGCGGCTCAACATGGGGACCCCTAATATTCATTTTCCCTTGGGTGCCTGAAATCTTCTGCAAAGCCACCGGGGTGAGCCGGGGCCCATTGGCTGCTGTTGGGGCAGCTGTGCGAGGTGCGGTCCCTCGCAGTGACTGAATGCTATGGAATCCATATGTCCTTTTTGTCTTAGCAGTTCCTAAGGGCTCTTCGGAGCGGAGCTGGCTGTGTTAATTCATTGCTGAGCGCTCACCTACCTGTGCTACCTGAGAAGAGCAATGCGGAGCAGAGACGTTGGTTGTTTAAAAAATTAAACTTGATTTCTCTCAGGGTTTTCTCTGTCTCTAGTCAAGTTTGTTTTAAACTAATGGAAGTAATTAGCGAGTCACAGAGGGACTTTGTCTAAGAGGTAGCCGGTTTTAGATAATGGAGCATAAAAGTCGGCACGGTGACATATGACACCAGCGCAGCGTGTTGGAGCCATGCGCTGTGTCTTAAGCAGATGTTTAAGTACTTTGAATACTGAAATCACTGCATATATACATATAGGAAGGGATATTTTTATTATTTTTTTTTTTTCTCTCAGACTACTAGTACACTGTAGGGCTTTCTTTTAATCTCAGTAAAATCAAAGTAAGCTCTGAATTGTTTTTAATGCGCAGTCATTATCACTCCTTTCTCTCTTCGTCAAATGTCTTCTTGTATATGATGTGTGGGTACTTCAGGAGGTATGGATGGAGCTCTCTTTCTGCATTGCCATTGTCTCGCAGACGAGCGCAATAATACACCAGCCGATGTACCTCGTTTCTAACACCGCTAATGGCATGGAGCTGAAAATAAATAACCTATTAGCAGCGAAGCATTCGATGTGTTCACACTTATTTATTATAGCTGTGAACACAGGGGAGATTTGCAGAAGTTTCTGAGAGATGAAGGCAATCTCGGAGCAAGGTGATCCCCGGGGGTGCAGCACCAGCTGCCTCCTTGGTCTCTGAGACCGTCCCAGTTTCTCCGCGTGTGCAGCCTTGGTTCTTGTAGGTGCCACCAAACCATGTGTGTGCTTAACCTCAGTCAGCGCTTTAATTAATTTTTATTTTTCAGACTAATCTAAAAACTGTGTCTTTGCTGTTAAAGTGAGCAGGGCCTGGCATGGGTCTGAGAGCTGACCTGGGATTGCCCACACGGGTGGATTGACGGTAGCACCACAGAGTTTTGGAGTTAGTATTGACCATGCATTGTCCCAGCAGGCCATTTAGAAGTGAAACCTCTTTTGGAGGGACAAAAAATTTTGACCTTTAGGAGATGAGCTATTGTGTGCTGGTTGACCTCAAGGGCAGAGCATTGGCTTGTTAGCATGGGCTGGTGGCCCGCAGCACTGGTTGGGTTTGGGTAGGATGGCCCATGTGCTACATGGCACCTTGAGAAGGGCCCAAGCTCCAGCTCTGACGATGCTGAAGTTTGAAGCCTCAACAGAGTCATGTATTTTTTTTAAGTTTGGCTTCCAACTTCTACACCTGAGGTTTGGAGTTTGAGATAATTCCTAGCTTTTCTGGAAATACGGAAGACTCCATGCTGTAGGCTTTCTTCTTTATTTATTTAACTGGATGGAATTCTGTCATTCCTAAGACAGAGGTTCCCTCCTCTAGACCGCTGAATATCTGCCCTGTGCTCTGACACTCAGTGACTGAAATCAAGGGTGCCAAGAGCTTCAAACTGTGGTCAAAGTAGCCATTTAAGTAATATCCTGCCCCTTAAAAAATCATGACCAAAGTTTCATTTAAACCTTGAGGAATGCAGGAGATGCTACTTTGTGTTACATTGACAAGCATTTGTTATGCTTCTGGAGGTAGAGCGCAGAGATAATTGGTCAGATGTCTCCACTAAAGCCTTTCGGATGAGATGGGTGTGGAGGTTTTTTGCCGCAGTCTGGGCTACAGGGAAAAGTAAAGATGGGCAAACTCCTGCTTTCCAAAACAAAAGTGAGAGATTTTTGTTTTCCCAGATCAGACAAGATTTTAATGATGTGGTCTGTGACAGTGAAATTGCTTAAAAGCATTACTCAGGGGTTTTTTTTTTATATACTAGATAACTTGATCCATCTTGGTTTTTATAAATCAATGTGTGACATTTGCTGTTTGTGCCCAGTGATTACTGCAGCATTAGGTTAACAGTTCCCACCACACACACATGAAAATGGACAAACATGATCTAAATAAATACATAGGATGGAAAGCCTTTGAAAGATGTGTAGTGATGACATGATCACAGCACCCCGGTTATTGAGAGGTGCAGTTTGGTGAAGGAGGGGATGGATTTTCCCTTCCTCCACCATAGTCTGCTCCTCGTTTCTCCGTACTGTGATGGTACCGGGGGCTTTGGCGACAGGACTGGTTGAGCAGTTTCCTGGTGGCTTTTTTCTTTTGCCTCTGCCATCCCTCAGATATTTTTATTTAAATCCAGATTAGTCCCCGATTCGGCTCGAAGCAGCCCTGCAGAAGCAGCCGCTGGGCTATGGGGGAAGGGGATGGTTGGGGTAAAAGTGGCCCAGGAGCTCCTCTCACCCGGATGGCCACCGCATCCCTTCTCTCCCTGCCGCAGCCAGCCTAGGTAAGATTCCTCTGACCTAGCTTTTCTTGTGCAAAAATTAAGTGCCTGCTGAAGCTACATGAGGCTTGGGCTCGCAGGCTTTCCTTATCTGGTGGCAGGCTAGGAGCATCGCTGCAAAGCCCTCAGAAGCCGCAGCATGAGAACCCCTGTAATGATCCTAGCTGGAAAGCTGGATATCCGTTCTCGCTCGCTTGAGACGTTTTTACGGGTACAATATGTTTTCCTTCACCACATGTGTGTTCCGCCCCGTGGATTACTGGAATGGCAGAAAGTGTTTTGTTTCCTGTGATTAGCTGCAGGTTCAATTTCTATCAGATTTGTCAATTTTGTCATATAGTAGTTTGGGTTTTTTCCAGCCTAATGTATGTGACATGTTTCATAATGCCAATAAAAATAGTTTTCAAACTAGACTGTAAAGGAATTTGACCAAAAAAAAGCTGAAAATAAAAATATCAGCAACTGGGGAGCTTTGATCTAACGGTGTAGGCTTTTAAATGACAAGTTGCAGTTTGCAAAGTGAAGTTTTACAGAGCTTTGCAGTCGCTGTAACGTGGCCAGGGGTCGGCCAGGGCAGGGTTGCCGCTCTGCCTTGGGGGGGGGGGGGGCAGTTCCAGCAGTGGCTGCGATCTGCAGAACGGTTTTAATTTTTCTTCTTTGTTTAAGTTTTTTTGGGGGTTTATATTTCTGATAATGGAATTGTTATGGGCTTTTGAATTTCAGTTAAGAATGTGCAAATAGCCTATCTGGTAAGTAGGTTATTGAAGGGTTAGGGAAATGGAGAACATTTTGTGCAAAAAAATACCCACAGTGTGGGTAATAGACTCCAGTCGAATTTAAAAGATAATGGCGACAAGGGAGAAATCCACTTGTAGAAATGGGGAACAGCTGTGTTTGAGATCTAATGAAACTGTATCAAATACTTTAAAAATGGCTTACAACTTCTTCCCTGGGGAACGGAGATAAAGCACAAGAGCACTTCTGAAAGGTCGAAGAAACAGTTAAATCATTTCCTTGATGGTTATTAGAGATATGGAAGACATCAGTGAAAATTAAATGTCTGAAACTTGTATTTGATTGCTTTCCTTATCACGCCAATCTCACACGTTTCTTCCATCTCTTGCTCTCTGTTCTAGTAAAATTTAATAACTGTGCCGGTAACAAGGGAGTTCGGTATGAAACCAACAGCCTGGACTTCAAGGTGAGAGCGGATGGGACCATGTACGCTGCCCACCAGCTGCAAATGCCCTCCAAGCAGCTGATCCTGATGGTGACCGCCTGGGATCCCCAGACCCTGGGCAGGTGGGAGGCGATCGTCAGGTTCCTGGTGGCAGAGAAGTCGCCACACAACGGACACAAGGTAAGAAGTTTTCAAAGCTCTTCTTCTTACTTCATTCATCGTTTGCCCAAACGTTCCCCAAACCGTTAAATGTTGACGTGTGGCGTCGGATTGTTTGTGTTGCCAGGGGAAGTGTCTGGGTAGAAAACACCACAAGCAGCAGCAAATTCCTTGCAAGTGATCCTCGGTTGCCTCTGACAGAAATGATTTCAGGTCACCAGCGAGGGACGCGTTCTCCAAGTTCATACTTTTGTCTTTTTAAGTGACCGCTTGGCTCTGTTGCATACTGCAGGTTATGTACCTTGTGTTTGCATCTCACTGCTAATACTCCCTTGACTTAAAATAAAACCTGCAAAGGAAGGGCGCCTCCCTCTCTCCAGAGGCTTAAGTCAACCATCTTCTTGAGAAATACGAGGTTAAGTTCAGATTTTTTTTTGCGACAGTGTAGACCTGGAGTCGTGCACTGGCTGCTGCTGCCGTGCTGCTAAGACATCTCCCTGGCTTTTGCAGTGATTCCTTTCTCTCTGCAAGCTGCCTGCATGGCCCTGCAGCTCCATGGGGGGCTTCCAGAGGGGAGATTTGGGCTCGTTCCCTTCCGACACAGCGAGGACGGGGAGCATTGCTGCTGCCTGATAAGGGACTTAGGCTCACAGGCAGCACAGGCCAGCAGGGCAGCAAAGCGCCGCATGGCACCGCGGTGGCAAACGTCCTCTCCGCTCAATGCCAGCGTCTTCCCTTCCCCACAGCTGAAGAGTGAAAAGCCAGCACCGTTCAGGATTTCAGACAGAAGATTGCAGGTGCTTGCTTTCTTTTTTAGTGTCTTACACGTAGCTGAAAAGCGGGAAGGATCTATCCCTGCCCAGCAATCTGAGAGCAGCATTGCTTCAGTTAAATACAGCGGTGGGCTGCACAGTGCCGTTATAATTGGGGACTGCTCCATGAAACCACATTTCTTCTGGTCTGCTCCTTGAGCAGCTGTCTCTGTCCCACCTCTTCCATAATATCTTTGGCAGCAGCAGTTCTCCACCTTCTCATTCTCCCCTCCTTCCTTTTCAGTGTTAGTCTGGGCTGAAGATCCTGTACTATACAGGATATACTGTATATACAGAATATACTGTATAAACGCAGTTATATTCTCTGGTCCCCACTCAAAAAACGTGATTCTGCGATGGTTGGACGGTTACATTTCAGCAGGCTTTGGCACGAAATTGGCCAAAGAGCCTGATTTATTGCTGGATCTTGAAGACCTGCAGAGCAAGGATGGAGGTGTGTGTCCGGGGGAGCAGTCACGCCTAGGTCAGGGACAGGCAAGGTCACTTGCTCAGGGCTGTAGTTTGGATTAATGTGCTACAGGAATTGTGAAGACAGCAGGACTGGCCGCTCCTTTCCTCTTTTCTGCAGCGCTTGGACAGAGAGAGCAGGGCAGGGAAGGAGGGGGAGAGGAGGGAGAGACTTTCTGCGCCGCATTGTCGGGATGGCTCGACGTGTGAGTCCCTGCCATTTGGGAGAATTTTTTGCCACGTGTGAGACAAGAGGAAAAGACTTGGAGAGACTTAAATCCAGCAGTTGCCCAGTGGGCTGACCCCTGAGGTTTTGCGTGGCTTAGAGTCATAGAAATACACTTCTGCTGCTCTTCAGTGAGGCTCTGGCTTGTGCGAGATATAATTAAGCCCTGTGTGTTATGTCAACTGTATTTGCCGTTTTCTAACCAAAGAAATACTGCTTCCTTCTAAAACTAATTAAATATTGAAGGGACAAAGTAAGGTGTCTTATATACTGCTTTAAATTTCTTCTCAGCGTAGCAGAAAGAAAACTGAATAAGCAGACATTTCTGGTTTAGTAAAATATTTGGTTGGAAATTCATCTAATGTTAATGTAAGCTGAACTCTGGTTCAAAACAGAGAGCACTAAGCTTTTTAAAATTCATATTCCTTCCTTCTAAAAGCCTTATTAGTGTGTAGTTGGAGGCTGGAAAAATATGGAAAACAAGACTAATGACAAGGTCATAAGCAGTTTTATTGTGGGTCCCTATAGCAGGCAACCGACTTGCGGTTTATTTAAATGCTTGTGCCTTTTGCAAGCAAAATAATCCTTTGTTTACTAAAGAAATAAATATGATTATGAGATTATTTGTAAAAATGATAGTGTTTATGCTATAAAAAAAAAACCCAAAACTTAACAGTATCCAGTTCAATGTGTTTCAGGCCATGACCCTAATATACTACATTTCATGGCTTTCGCTAGAAATAGATTTCACATTTGGTTTTGTATAGTAGAATATGACGCAAGCAGAACTACATGATTTTTTAAAAGCATTTCAGACTTGTGTTACATTCAGGATACGGAGACAGAAAATACGGGAGAGAAAGGAGGAGATGATGTGAGAGAGGGAGAGAGACCAACTCTGTTCTGGCGCATACATCCATTTCCATTTTGCTTTGTAAATTTGTGACTGATTTTGTGAAAATGCTGAACAGTTCCCAGACAGTAAAAATAATCAGCATGAAATTTGCCTTACTGGACCTACTGATCTCTGTTTGCTGGCACCTACAGCATGAGTAAGTCCTTCTGCCTTGCCCATCCTCTGTGTTTCTGTGGGCTTCTCTGTGACCGGTGGCCTTCAGCTGGGGCAACCCCACTGCCGCCGGGAAGCTTGCTGCCCCTCCGAATCGCCTCTGAAGGGGATAAATCACAATTCAGTTCACAGTTATCCATGGAATAAAGCTTCATGAAAACACGATTAGCCCTCCTGGCATGGCCATTAGTAGACGTTGGTTTATTATGGAGGTTAATGCAGAATAAATGTTATAGAAGTTGGCGTTGTTGGGATACTGGCTGAGGTCGTGGGGGACCAGAAGTGAGGTCCCTGCGCTGCTGCAAATTCCTGGTGAGTTCTGGGGGGAGCAGACCCAGACTCCCACAGCCTGCCTGCAAAATTAAGGCAGCGGTCTGCTTCCCAGGAGGGCGCAGAGGATAAACCCCTCAATACATGACCCTTGGGATCTGTGATCCTTTATTATCACAATATATAAGACTGGAAATCTGCGTAACGGGCTGGGAGAGCTTTGGTGGTTGCCAGCACGCTGTCAGGGTGGTGGATTGGTTCAGGACGGCTCCTGTCGGGACAGTTGTCCCCGTGTGAGCTTTCATTGCAAAATCAGAGGGTTTGGTGTCTGTACCCCTGCCTCGGATCCCACAGCTGTGCGTTACCCCCGGTGCAAGCTGACACTTTAATGGTCATTACACCCACTGTAACGACAGCTTCCCCTCCTTCCTAGTGTTGGCCTTATAAATGTGCTACTTGCTTTAGATGACTGCAGAACCTGGGCAAATCTGTAAATTTTCACTGGTAACCACTGTAATGAAAGAATTCTAACTACTACATTAAAGTTTAATACTAGTGGGATGAAATGCTAGGAAAGAAAGTAAATATTTTAAAAATGTATTTCATGATACATGAAGCACACATTTTCCCCTCCTCCCCAGCAAACACTCGAACATAAACTTTTTTCTGGTTAATACCAGTGATGTTAGTAACTCTAGGAACTTTTTTTGTTCAGTCTTGCAGGAAACCTGATAGCAATTCAATTAGAAAATGCAAATGAGGTCACATATTTCCCACAGGAGTGCTGAATTACCCCAGAGGAAACTGAATTATATTCTAGCATAACAATAAATACTTAAGATAAAGTTTCTTGTACTGTTCTTGTCTGGCTGCCTGTTGTTGCAACTGAAAGTATCAATCGGACCTGTGGGGATAATTTGGAGAGAAGAAGAGAAAGAAAGAAAATAAAAGAAGTTTTTTTTTATGAAATAATATAAAGTCCTTGTAGCTCGTGTCAGCATTTATGGAAGATAAACTTGCGTGGGATAAAGCTCCAGAAGAAAACAATGTAAAGTGAGATTTGACTTATCTGGAATTAACAGCGCGATGTCGTCTTTTCTAAGAGCGCATGCTGTTATTTCTAACAATTGGATATTGGTTCAACTGAACGTCTGAAAAGGAAGATGATGTTTGTGAACAGTGACATGGCTGAAGGCTTCTCTCTTCAGTGTCCTCCATTTCCTCGCTGCAGGAACCCAAGTCTTCCTCAGTACCTGGGCGGGTATGTGCCACTCATCCTTCACTCCCCGCACCACCCCCTGTGTCCGTACCGTCCAAGCACCTCCCTGTCACCCCTTGCTAACCAGTGTCCTCCACCACCCATGTTGGCCTGGCCCATCTGAAGTTCCAGCCCAGTCTTTCCTATTGATCTTTTCTTTATTTTTCAGTGCTTGCATGTGTCTAAGCATATTAAGGCATGCCTGGCAAATTTTCTTCTTTGTTAGTTTATGTATTTTTCTGTAGTTCTCACCTCATGAGTTAAAATCAGGATCATAGAAATACAACGCAGAAAGGAAGAGCTTGGAGATAGAGGACATATTCAATACCTGTAGGATGCCAGTCATCTCTTGCCAGTGACTTATTTTAGAAAAAAACAGGATTTTCTTTGAATTCTGTTTATGTCCACCTAAGTTTCTCATTGTCTTAGCTTCTCGAATTCTGAGCATGGAAGTATGTACATTTTTGCAATGTTAAATCACTGGGAATTGTGCAATTAAAATCTTGCAAATATATGGCTATGCAGCTAGTGTTTAAAACATTGAGCACCACTGTCAAAAATCAACCCTTGCTTAAGCCCAGCCTGTGTTTTATTATGTCTCATCTTATTTTGGGCTTCTTTCATAACCCAGGTATGAGTCCACAGCCACACAATATGAATGTGAAAAGCTGATTCTTAGAGCCAGGTTGTTTTTTTTTTCTTGTTTTTTTTTTATTTTAAAGCCTTTTAATAATCATCTCTGGCATTTTACCCGGCTAAGATTTTAAATTCCAGTACAGCCTTTTATTGCTGATCACAAATACAAAGGTCTCTGGGCAAGGAAAGGCTCATTCAGCGCTGATCTTGTTTATGACCTCGGTTATTGTGGTAGCCAGGATGCTCTGCGCGGGGCCCGGCAGCGATGAAGATGCAGCCTTC